GTTTTAAAGATATAAAGAAATATTTCTAGAGGTCATCAAAGGTCAACCAGCCCCCCCACCTTCTTCAAATTAGACAAAATTGGTGTGAAACGTTTCTGCTACGTTTGTGCAGCAAAAATTGTCGTTTGCGCCGCTATCGTTTTAAAGATATAAAGAAATATTTCTAGAGGTCATCAAAGGTCAACCAGCCCCACCACCTTCTTCAAATCAGACGAAACGGCTGTCAATTAACTCAGCTCCGTTTGTGCTGCTTTGTGCAGCAAAAATTTTCATTTGTACTGCTTTGGATTTGAAGATTTGGAGAAAGTGGGGGGGCTGGTTGACCTTTGGTGACCTCTAAAAGCATCTCTTTATATCTTTAAAATGAAAGCGGCACAAACGAAAATGTTTGCTGCAGAAACGTAGCACAAACTTTTGACACCAATTTTGTCTAATTTGAATAAGGTGGGGGGGCTGGTTGACCTTTTGACCTTCACATTTCCATTAATATCTTCAAAGCCAAAGCAGCACAAACGAAAACTTTTGCTGCACAAACATTTGACACTAATTTTGTCTGATTTGAAGAAGGTGGGGGGGGCCAACTTCACTCAGGTATCCAACAGAGGAAGAAAAAGGAAGATACCTGATGAAAATAGAGGATTCAAAGAATGGAGCGAAACATTTGCTTTCATCATCAGTCAGGAGGGATTGCCTGCATGTTTGCTTTGAAAGAGAAGTTGTCAAAAAATAAAAAGAGTAATTTGGAGAAGCGTTTCCAGGAAAGGCTAAACATGCAGCTGACCACAAAGTTGGGAGTGAGAGAAAAAGTGTGATTGCAGAACTTCTGGATAAATTATAGCAGAACAAAGATAGATTTAATAAGTGGATTGCATCTCCTAACTCCACTACTGCTGTTAGTTAGTTTGTTGAAAGTATGGAAAACCGTTCAGAGGTCCAACAGGGAGCGCTCTGATGCAGCGAAGGGAACTTTCTTCCATTTTTTACCCAAAATCCTCAAGATAAATATAACAATAAAAAAAATAATTAATTTCTTTATAATGTTTCTATAATTTCATCAATGCAACAAAACCTAATAAATTAATATTGTAATGGAATTTAAACTTAAAGCACTGAATATCATACAACAGAGTAGTCAAATGATGTGACATTTGCTCCAGGAATACCCTGCACAACTTAGAGCCCGTGTTGCAATATAATGCTTGTTTAACACTTTAACCTTTTTGCGACTCCAGGCAGATTTGGGTTTTTATTTTTATTTTGGGCCAATGTGGTTCTCTGAACAGTTTCAGTTGCCGACCTCTCATTTATGAGGATATGAGCTCATAAAGCCATAAAGGGATTGGGAGACAAATCTGGAAAGATTATTAAAAGAGAAAGCAAGAGGAATTGTTTTTTTCCAGTGTCTTGCAATGTGGCAATAAGAATAATTGTCTTGATTTCAAAAAGAGCCCAACAGATTTTACTTTCACAAGTGTAGCAGTACGGCAATTGCCATATTGCTCCACTTGTTTCATGCAAATAAATTGCTTTATTATAATTATGCAGGGAGTTTTAAAGTTTATATGGACACTGCAATGTAAATAGACCAGAAAAACAGAAGAAGAAAAGGAAAAAAGAAAAAAAAGAGAAAAGATGAAAGAAAGAAGAGATAGAAAGGAGATAATGACAAAGCATTTTCATTCTCCTTCATCACCTGTAACGAGATGTAAAAAGAACAGCACAACCGAGAGACATGGTACGAGACATACAATAAAGCAACACCTTAAGACTATTGCTAAAGTAATATTATTAAGTCTGACATGTACTCTGTGTTACCTGAAGATTTTTTTTAAGAAATCCATTAAACATCTTCCTTTCTAAGAGTACAATTACAGATAGATGTTGGAGTAACTGTGGCATAATTGGTTTTCCCTGCTTCAAAACATCCGAATCAGATGATTGCAGTTCAGCACAGCCTGATAATAAACTATTGATTGATATCAGGTGTGTGGCAGCTGAAAACATGCAGGGCAGTGTAACCTGATGACCAGGAAAACACTGCCTTAGAGGCTCCGGTCCATCTTGGCTTGAAATCATCAGTGTGCTTTAATTTTGAAAGGAAACAGGAAGTTTCCTCCTTTCTGGGTTCAGTCTCTTCTAAACCAGAATGTTTCCATGTCTCACCTTGAAGGAGCTGTTGGTGTAGGTCAGAATCATGTTCTCAGCGCCCTGTTTGACTTTGGTCTCCATCGTCAGCTGTTTCTTCAAAGTTCTGACCCGACTGGCCAGCGGTGATGTCACTTCCTCCCACTGACACGACTCTAACGACTGCTTCTCTTCCTTCTCTGGAGCCGCAGCTTTAAAAACAAACAAAAAAATTATTAATAAACAAGGTTTTCCCTTAAGGAAGCTCCTAGTAATTTATGAGTGGTGCTCCCCCTATAGGATCTTTTAGAAATAGTACTCTCATTAACACTATTCAGGGCCCCCAGCTCACAACTAAAGTGCGCTGTCACTATCAAAGAAGCTGGAAGACGCCCATCAAGATGAAACTTTGGCTTATTTAAGAATTTTATTTATTATTCAGCTAATTTTGTGTTAAATTAAACTTTATTGCTAAAAGCTAGACCTTCCCAATTCACAGCGGATCACTTCCAGCCTTCACTGCCTCGTTCCAAATACCTCCAGTTGTAGCCTTTAGCTCCTGTTCTTAGCTCTATGTCTTCACCTTTCACGGGGTCAACAGTTAGATCTCTATCCAGTACCTGCATGGTTGTCCTTCTCCGTAGCCATGGACATGGCGTTGAGCTCCTGAAGCTGCCAATGCAACTCCTCCAGCTTCCGGTTGGACGCCTTCACCTCCCCCTCCACGTCGGCGGCGCCCCTCCGGCTGGTATAGGCCCGTCTCATCCTCTCAGCCGCCTCCTTGATCTTCAGCTCCAGCTGGATCTCCTGCCTGACCTGCACCCGAGCATTTTCCAGCTGCTGCTGGAATTTCGGGTCCAGGATGTCCAACTGCTGCACTTTGGAACTCTAATGGGAGAGGGGGGGACCAGGAGAATCTGTTAATAATTGAACTTTATTGATCTCACATTGGAGAAATTTACCTCTGCATTTAACCCATCCCCTTGGGGAGCAGCGGGCTGCCATTGGACGGCGCCTGCGGAGCAGTGTGGGGTTAAGGGTCTTAGTCAGAGACCCAGAGTGACAGTCTGTGTGAGTGGGGCTTGAACTCAGAACCTCAGGATTACAAGCTCTATACCCTAACCAAGCTCTATGCCATTCCCACTCCTCCATGCCTGGTTTGAAGAACATTTATTTTTATTTAACACAACACATAAACCAGATAATTTCCAAGCCAAAAAACAGTAAACTGAAACAGGATCATATACAATTTAACAGCCTCATAAAACACTAACAGAGCCAGGAGTTATATTGACAGGTATAACTTCTATAGTAGACTTTGACTAGGCCACGGAGGTTTTGTTTTGTCTTGTTTTTTCAGTTGGTTGGTTTAAAAACCTATGAAGGGCTTTTAAGGACTATGCTGGTGAAGATTCTCAGTCATCCAGCTCAAAGTAATTCCAAAAAAGTCAACAAGAAATCATTGGACTTTGTTTTCCAGATATTTTAAATTGAAAAAGTTCCTGGATGGGAAACCAAATATCTTCAAACTTGGAAAACAGTTGCGTGTGGATTGTTTTATAACTTCTTTGGAAGGATTTTAAGGAAATTTTTACCAGATCTGTGCCTTAATGCAAAGGAACCATTCATCACATTTTGGTAATGATCCAGTTTGAGCTATAGGTCTTTAGCTGCTTGGAGGAGTTTTACAATCTCTGATTAGTTTTCTAGTTCTTATTATTTCTGAGCCACATTGCTGCTGTGATTGGATCATTGTTCTGCTGATGACCCGGTTTGGACCAAACTTCAGCTGTTAGACAGATGAACTCGCATTCGACTCTAGAACACCATGGTCTGCAGAGATCATGTTCCACTCAGTGACTGAAACATGTAGAACAAACCCAAACCATCATCCCTCCACCACCGTGCTAATCGATAATAGCACATCAACAGCACATCAACCCAGATGTCTCGTCCTTCTTCCAGATGCAGCTCTGCTAACCTAAGTCCTGCTGCCATCTTGTTTTTAGAGGCTTCCTCCTTCAGAGCGTCCTACAGTCAGACTGAGTCAGTCATGACCTTCAACCTTTAGCCTACTACAGTAACTGAGGCCTGTAGAGTCTGACATGGAGCTCTTTGGTCTATGATCATTTATTCGAGCTTCCTGCTCAGACGTTTGCTTTTGTTAATGTTTGTTTCTATTGTTTAAATCAATACCGGTGTGACATTTGTTCTGATTGTGTCATTTTTATCATGTAAATGGAAGAAAAACAATATTGCCTCTAAGAATATAAGCAGCACATAACAGGATCAGTTAGACTGATGTCAAAATAATTAATATCAGCCTTAAAACAAACCGTTTCAGTTGATCTGTAGTATCAATATCAAGTTTGACGTTTTAGTATTTTTACAACCCTACTCTGAGGTTGTTGTTTCTAAACCAGAATAATAATGGATTAAAGAAACCAAATAAGTGAGATGAAATCATGATTAATTCACCAGAACAATTTTAAAGGTAAAACAACTATAAAAACAGTATCAAACCAGATATATCCTTAAAGTTATTGAGCCATTAAGATCCCAGCACAGCACCAACTGTTTACATTTACATCTGCAATAACGTACTTTAACTGTAATATGCAATTACCTTCCACTGCACTTTAATTTAGATAGCTTCTGTCCAAACTCTAATTATTTTATAGTAAAACCCATCTGCTATTGTAAATAACTGTAAAAACCTTTTTTTATAAGAATATCCACCTGTATATTATATTGGGTACATATCCAGCTGTAAATTTAGTTCATAACACTAGTGATCTATATATTATATTCATTATTTATAATAGTATTCATCTCTATACTCATTCAGTAGAAATAACCCACTTCCTGTATTTTTGGAACCATTATTTATCCTGCACTTGCTGCTATTGCACTTCTGGTTAGACCTAAACTGCATTCTGTTGCCTTGTACCTGTACATGTGTAATGACAATACAGTTGAATCTAATCTAATCTAAAAAGATGCAGAGCAACAAACTGATATTTCTTATTGTTTTATAGAGAAACCAAAACTCTGCTCCCTGTAAACCCCAAAAAAGTCCAGAATAAACAAAACATCTTTCCTAAAAGGTTGCATCAGAAGCTTTGAGTAATGCATTTCAATCATTGGAGTTATGCAAGCAGAGAAAAGATCTGCTCAGCCGACAGGGGTTACATTAACCCGTAAAGGTTCTTCTGATTAGGAGAAATCTTTTCAAGATTTTGG